CCAGGGGCCCGCGGCGAGGCTCACGGGCTGTTCCGCTTGCGCTTTCCCTTCAGCCGAAGCAGCTTCCCGACAAGTGGCAGCACGACCTGTTCGACAGCGGCTTCGGGGGCGGTGCCGGCGTGGAGACGGGGGGCAAGCTGCTGGTGTCCAACCTGGACTTCGGAGTGTCAGACGCCGACATCCAGGTAGGAGCCCGCCGCTCGCGGTCTTGTCAGCAGCACGGTCCCCAGGCCCGTCTCTGGGGGACGAGGCTTGTTCCCTTTTTGATCGGACCTCAAAGTCATTTAAAGTGGTCTGGGACCGGGACGTGGCCCGTGGCGGCGTGCTCGCCGGCGTGTGCAGGGCCCCACTGCAGCCCCCAGCACTGCGGAAGGAATAGGTGGCTCCGTGTTTTTTCTGCTCAAGAGGCAGTGTTGGTGATGGCTGGGGCAGGGTGCCGGGCCCCGGAGCCCGACCGTGTGACCTTGCCATGGGGACGGAGCAAGGCCAGTGAGCACTCACAGTGTCTCAACACTTTTTTTAAGGTGGTTTCTGGCATCCACTGGAAACCGCTTTTGGTGAACTCCACTTCCCTGCTGTGTGCCTGCGGCCGGAGCAGCCCCACACTCTGGGTTCCCTCTCCAACTCCCAGCCTGCCTGAGGTCAGGGCAGTTTCCATGGCGTGCTTGACCTCAGTCTTTGAGGCAGGCTTGAGTAGGAGGAGAGGGAAAGGTGAGCAGCCAGAATCTGCCTTGGGGGGGGGCTCGGGTCAGGGCTCCAGAGGCAGTGGGCCCTTTGAGCCGGCCTGGTCTATTGGACAGTTTCCCTTGCTCTTGGCCTTTTCTGTTTTGTAAAACATCCCTTGAGTGTATTTTAAGTTTTCCATTGTTGAAAAAGAGAGTGCCTTAATCTTTGTACCAGGGAGCGTTGCAACTTGCTTTATCTGCATGGTGGTACAAATGTCAGGTCCCCAGATGGGCAGGAGATTTCCTGACTCAGGTGCTCTTAAAAGTTGCTGTTTCTCCTGGCCCATCCCTTCCCACAGTTCCTCTTACCTCTGCCCCATCCTCTTTGTAGATGGCTGCCAGGGATGTACCCCAAGCATTCATACTTGCAGGGACTGACCCTGGGCCAGTAGAGGAACACAGTGCAGCTGCCTTGTCAACACATGCTCTTTCTGACTCCTAGGAACTCTTTGCTGAATTTGGAACGCTGAAGAAGGCGGCTGTGCACTATGATCGCTCTGGCCGCAGTTTAGGGACAGCAGATGTGCACTTTGAACGGAAAGCAGATGCCCTGAAGGCTATGAAACAGTACAATGGTGTCCCTTTGGATGGTGAGTCTGGGGCTGGGCCCAGGATGCCTGTGGGGCTCGTGGAGTTTGGGGCTGGCACCTGTCCCTGTAGGAATATGGGTTGCCCCTCTGGCTGAGGACACTTTGCATTTGCCCCTTTGTCTCTCTCTTCCATTCTGCCACCTCTCATGCTGCCCCACACATCTGGACCAACCTCTTGTGAACCCCCATCCAGCAAGCTACATCCCTCCCCTCCTTCAGCTCCTTCCGGAAGATTCACTTCTGTGAAGCCTTCTCAGAACCGCCATAGTACACCTGAGTGCGGGGCTGTAGTCGTAAAGACAAAGGTACCTGTTCTTCTTCCGTCAGGTCACCCACACCTGTCCACCCATGAGCACCCTGGACATCTGAGCAAACAGCCCACCTAGCCTGGACTGAGAAGGAGTGAGGAGGTGTTGGTGGGGTTGTTGTTGTTGCCAATTTGTTGTTCTCCCACCAGACTCTCCAGGCCATTTCCCTTGTTGGGGGCATTGGAGACACACAAAGGCCCTTTCCAGAGCTTGCATGGAGACCAGGGTATGGTGCCCCCTGGGCTGGCTTCAGAGCCTCTGGAGTGAGCCTTCTTATGTTCTTTGCCACAGGCCGCCCCATGAACATCCAGCTTGTCACATCACAGATTGACACACAGCGGAGACCTGTACAGAGGTGAGTTCCATGGTCTCTGGGGTCTGTGGAGATCAGCTTTGTTGTGTGGTCATGTTCCCCTCAAGGCTTTCCAGCTCGGTCATTGAGTTCTCTTGTCCTCGCCAGCATAAACAGAGGTGGTATGACTAGAAACCGTGGCTCTGGAGGCTTTGGTGGTGGTGGCACCAGGAGAGGAACCCGTGGAGGTAGCCGGGGAAGAGGCAGAGGTACCGGCAGGAACTCAAAGCAGCAGCTCTCTGCAGAAGAGCTGGACGCGCAGCTGGACGCCTATAATGCAAGGGTGAGTCCCAGCAGGCCACCAAGGCCACAGTGGGGGAGTGAGTCCTTTGGGGTTAGCAAAGCTAGGAATGGGCCGAGGCCAGGGCCTCCTGAGTGAACCTCCTCCCTCTGTTTCAGATGGACACCAGTTAAACAGCCGGGCAAACCGTGTGTGGAACAGGACCCAGACGTCTCGTCCCTGCTCCCTGGTGGGAGGGGGTGCTGGGCTGCGCAGCCAATGACGGATTTGTTTCTTTTGTGTTTTAAAATAGGATTTAAAAACTCATGTAAAGGTTTTTTCTTTTCTTTTTTTTTTTTTTAATTCTGAAACAGACCTGTTTTGTACCAAGTTATTTTTGGGATAAATTTTACTGGTTGCTGTTGTGGAGAAGGTGACGTTTTTCACCTTTGCCATAATAAAATAGAAACGTGTGTAGACCTGGAAGTGTCTGGTCCATCCCGCTGCTACAGCCCTTGCCTGGCAGCGCTGGGTGTCTGCCCTATGGGAGGGGAGAGTAGAGCCATCTGTGGCACCTGGCATGGGGTTGGAACTATGCTTTGAAGGTGGTGGCTGCCACTCTCCTGTCCCCTTCCCTACCTTTCCTAACTCTTTACGCTCTGATTCAGTAGGTGGGAGGACACCAGAGGCGCAACAGCCCCTTCCCTAGAGCTGCCTGTTCTCTCTGCCTGTGCCACAAGGTTAAGGGTGGGTGGGTCATCTGTGCAGTGTCTAGAGGTCTCCCATGACAGGCTGTTGGGCTATCCTTTCCCTTCTCTGCACTGTATCGGGGAAACCTGGGCTCTGAGGTTCTGATTCTTCTGTGTGGTTCCAACTCTTCATAAATAGGATGTACATTTTCCCCTTAATCTTGTACAGTTGTGCAGATAATCAAATCTAGGGGCGTTTGAGTCCTTCTCGTACAGCAGCTTGGTGTGTGCATAGGTCAGGTCCTGTGCACACTTTCCCATTTCTAAGTTGTCTCTGGCTCCTTATGCCTGGTGCAAGGCACATGTTCTGTTATTGCCTGTTGTCCTGTAGTGGTAGGGAAGGGTTCTGTGTGTCCCAGCACACCCAGTCTTCCTGGATGTCTGCATCCTCGGTTGGCTGACCAGGACATTGGAGGGCTGGCTGTATTTGATAATGATAAAGTAGGTAGTGGAAGTGAAGGCAGAACCTAACCTCTATGCCAGAGGGGGCAGGGCAACAGGGACAGCTTGATGTCAAGTTAGTTGGTGATACTGTTTTGAGAATGGGTTGGACATGGAGATAAGAGCTTTAGATCTTACCCTGCTGGGAGGACCCTGCTGGTGTGTGAGTATTGTGGAGACTTGAGGCTGGAGAGGGAATTCACTCAGGGGAACTGACAGCGCTCTCTGCAGACAGTAGGTTCCATTGGGCACATGCTCCAGACCAGCTCTGCTTCCGAGTTTGGTCTGACTCGAGTCATGCAGGAGAGAGTGTGTCAGTTACAGTGACCCTACATAAAAATCAGTGGCTGCCATCTGAACAGCCTTTCCCTGTGCCAGGAAGGGCCACTACTATTAACAAACAAGGTGACTCATTCTGGCTCTCTGAGGCAGCTCGTCCAGTAGGGGAAAGGACTGCTGCAACTCTAGTTGCCAGAGCAGAGGAGTCAATGAGAGGCAAGGCAGTCCATGCAGTGGGACGGAGGCCGTCCCTGAGAAGGTGGCCTCGAGTGGTCCTGAGTGTTGGAGCCATACCCGCTGCCTAGCAAGCAGAGGAAGCACTTGGTAGGTGTACCTCACAGGGAGGAGTGAGGAGAGTTAGGGGCTATGACCTTCTTGGGAGGAAGGAACACCAGAATGATGTGTTGTGAGGTGCAGTAGGTAGGTGTCAACGGGGAGAAGACCCCAGGAAGGAGCAGGCTGAAGGTGGCAATCACGGATTGGCTATGTCACACACGCGAGAGGTGGGGCAGAGGCACCCAGGTGTCTTGTATGAGAATGCTACTTTGAGTTGGACATCTTTGGTTTGGTAGCTGGCAAGTGGAGGTGGCTCAGAGGAAGGCGTTGGAAGAGATGGAAATGGGGTCACATCACAGGAGCAGTGGCTAATGTCTGCTGTGGGGACAGTGGCATGCGGGTGGCAAGCCTGGCCATTTGTAATTAGTGTTGCTAGTGTGGCCAATCTGGAGGCCACCTGGCTTCCTGTAAGTGATGAGCAAAAGAGCTGGGTCACCTACTTTCTGAAGTAGACCTTTGTTCCCAGTGGGCACCACAGGGAAGACCTCATTTGTCCTCTGAGCCATTTAGTCTGGATATTTTTCAGGGAAGAAGATAGAGGCTCTTTTTGTGGAATGCACATGCTGTAGTTCAGGTCCTCTGGAGGCTGGTGCCTCAGTTTCCTGCCTAGAGAGGGGGGAGGAAACCACTGACCCCAAGAGTGTTTGAGGAAAGGATGACTTGAGACTTGATGTTCTGCAGGTTTTTCTCCTTTATTCTCCCTCAGACCATGAGCTGCAGATGTTTGGTTGGCTGCCAGAGCCCTTCAGGTGCCTGGGGCGACCCAGTTCCTTTTGTAGCCCTGTGGTCTGCATGAGAAACTAGAGTAATTGGCTCAAAGGAGGGCACGTGACTCAGGAAGGGCAAGAGGGGGGCTGAGCTATCAGATGTGCTGATTGAAGGAAAGGTCAGCAATGGGGAGAAGCAGCAACTCCAGGTTTCAGAGCTCTTCCCAGGTTAGCTCACAGCACCCAGTGCTGACGTCAGCTCCATGCATGGGGAGGTGGCTCTCTGTTGGAAGCAGAAGGAGTGGAGCAAAGGCCCGCCAGATCCATGCATTGAGAAGGAGGAGTCCTCCCTTTGGAGTTCGAATCCTATTAGACCTAACCTGACCTCGCTGGGTTCAGTGATTCAGTGGTTTGGTTGCTATATGCAGACACCATTGTAATAATTTGTCTTGCTGTTTATACCTTGCAATGGGTTGATGGTTTAAGTAGGAAATGAAACACAGTAATGATAGATATGATGGTGACAGAAGAAGTAGGGGAGTGGAGGTGCAGAGGTCAAGGTAGACGGAACAGCGCGCTCCATAGCAAGCCGCACAGCTGTCAGATGTCTGTTGAGACCCTGGCCTGTGCCTTGTACTCTATTCAATGTTCTATGTAGTTTTCTCCTCTTTTCAAGAATCTAGTGATATGATCTTTTCACTTTAGAACTTAAAGAAAATGAAGTTTATTAACTCACCCAACAAAAATGTGTGCACCTGTTGCAGGGATAAAAGCACTGAACAAAATACATAATCTCTTAACAGAACTCTAGTACATTCTAGTGGAGAAAAAAGAGGAGGGCTGGGGCTGTAGCTCAGTGGTACAGCACTTGTCTAGCATGTGTGAGGCACTGGGTTCGATTCTTCAGCACCACATATAAACAAGTAAAAAGTTCATCAACATCTAAAAACAATTAAAAATAGGATTGCTGGGCAGGGTGGTATACTCCCATACTCCCAGCAACTTAGTGAGGCCCTAAGTGACTTAGTAAGATCCTGTCTCAAAAAATAAAATGGGCTGGGGATGTGCTGAGTGGTTGAGGGCACTTGGGTTCAATCTGTTACCCTAAAAAAATGATGAAAGGAAGTGGAGTACAGACACAGGGTATCCAGTGAGGCCATGGAGGAAAACCTTGCAGGGTGGAGTTGTGAACGCTTGGACAGTGGAGGTGAAGCTCACTGGCAGAGGCAGAGAATAGCACACACCAGGGAAGGGTAGGAACCGCCCAAGATCCCAGTGTGGGGGTGGTGTAGGTGACCTGAGGCATTAATGTGAGGACACCAGCTAGGGGATGAGCCAGTGAGTGGAGGGCCAGAGTTTCACTCATGGCCAGTGGACCAGGGCCATCCGTGTTAGATGGCACTCCATCACTGAGCTCTGTCCCCAGCCCTAGGAATTGAGCCCACGGATCCATGTACGCCAGGCCAGGGTACTGCCACTGTGCTACACACCAAGTCTTTAAGTTTATTTTGTTGGGGTGGGGGGATTGGGGATTAAACCCAGGAGTTTACCACTGAGCTACGTTCTCAGCCCTTTTTATTTTGAGAAAGGGCCTTACTAAGTTGCTGAGGCTGGCTATGAATTTGCAATCCTTGAGTTGCTGGGTTTATAGGTGTGTTCCACCATGCCTGGCAATCCTTTTCGTGTCTGGATAAGATAGAAGTTATCACAGAAAGACTTTCTTTCCTGGGAAACTTGGAGGATTTCACTTGAGAACACTGTAATGACCTTCATGGGGTTGAACACTTTTGGCATTAATCCATGCAACAAAATAGATTCAAATACTGATTTGTTACCAGGCCTGGCGGCCTTCACCTGTGGTCCTAGAAACAACTGATGTTCTTGAATGTGATGAATGCCTGTACTCCAGTCTGTTGTGCTGTTAGCTGCTGGTAGGACCTTATAGGCTGAAGGGCATTTGGAAGTTAGGTTTTTGGAAGCATGCCCTTGAAAGGGATATTGAGACCCTGGCCTCTTTCACTTCTTGGCTGTCATCTTAAACTATGCTGCCATACACCCAAACAAGCTGCCAACAGCTCATGGACTGAAACTGGAAGCCAAAATAAACTTTTCTTTGACTACATTGCTTGTCTCAAGTATTTTATCACAGTATCAGAAAGTTCAGTGTTGTTAAATTTAATAGAAATATGTATCTCTTGGGGCTGAGGTTGTGGCTCAGAGGTAGAGCGCTCGCCTATCATGCATGAGGCACCAGGTTCTATCCTCGATACCACATAAAAATAAAAGATTTTGTGTCCACCTATAACTAAAAAATAAATGTTAAAAAAAATAAGGCGCATGCCTATTAACTACTTGGGAGGCTGAGGCAGGAGGGCCCAAGTTCAAGGCCAACTGAGCAACAGCTACACCCCATCTCAAAAACGGTCGGGGCTGTGATCTAGCATCTCGCTTCAATCCTTCTGTTAATGTCAGCTTGTTTATTTAACTGAATGTTTGAAAAGCTACTGTGTAATTTTGGTGTTTGTATTCGTTGAAAGAATTCCTGTATAACTCTACCTAGACTCCCCTGATGATGATTTGCTGCAGTTCTCCATGTTTTCTGAGTGAATCGAGAGAAGAATGTAGACAGGAAACTTTATCCCAAAATCCTTCTGTGAGATTTATTTATTTAGATACTAGGGATTGATCCCAGGGGTGCTTTACCACTGAGCCCTTTTTATTTTTTACTCTGAGACAGGGCCTTGCTAATTTCCTCAGCCTGGCCTGGAACCTGTGGTCCTCCCGCCTCAGCCTACTGAGTCACTAGGATTATAGGTATGTGCCTTTATGCCTGGCTCCATAAGTATCTTGAGATATTTAGGTGAATATGTTTTTCTTCATTTTTTCCCCACTAATTTTAGCATCTGTTGGATCTCAGAAGCAACTGTCACGGCTTTTTATATTTTCCACATCCTTCGACACTTACTAATTGGAATTCTTGCATAAGCGGCAGCACTCCTCCAGGGTTTGTTTAGGTGGTTGTCAGGTCAGGACGGACACTGTTGCTCCAGTGACTCTCCGGGCAGGAGTGCTCTTTGAGGTGGCCTGTGCCCTTCGGACGTGCTCATTGCCTTCACTAAGCACTTCAGACATCTTGAGAAACCCCACACCTGAAGTCACAACTTCTCCAAAGAGCCCTGGTGCTTTCCCATGGAGACTGGCATTTATCAACCAGGATTTCAGCACTGGTCGTGTTTGCTACTTCTGGCCCTCAGGGCACAGCACAGAAAGTATGTGCTAAAACACACCTACCTACTGCTGGATTGATTTCTGTGGATATCTAGCTGGATGTAGACGTTTTTGGAAAGCCACGAGTTCCTACAGGTGTCTGACCACCCCAGTGCCGCAGGGCACTCCTGCCCTGCCCTTATCTGTATTTTCTCCCTGTGACGGAGAAGCCTGGCTCTTGGTGCATGCCATTTACTTACACAATTTCAGTTTCTGGTGTGCCCAAACCCCTGTGAGGGGCACTTTCAACCACAGTTATTGGCAGGTTAGCGCTCCTGCATTTGGCCTCATGGGGTCCAAAGTACTGCTGTCCAGTGTAACCTAGGTGAGTGCTTCTCGCCCGCCAGCTGCCTGTGGTTTGTACAGTGAGGGGTGTCTGTCGTGGTTCATATGTAATCACCTGTAATCCCAGTGACTTGTGGAGGTTGAGGCAGTTCCAGGGCAGCTGGGCAATGTAGCCAGACACTCTCTCTAAAGAAAAAGGGACTGGGGATGTGGCTCAAGCGGTAGTACGCTCTCCTGGCATGTGTGCGGCCCAGGTTCGATCCTCAGCACCACATACAAACAAGGATGTTGTGTCCGCTGAAAATTAAAAAATAAATATTAAAAATTCTCTCTCTCCTCTTTAAAAAAAAAAAAAAAAAACTTAAAAAACAAACAAACAAAAAAAAGATAAAGGGACTGGGGATATACCTCAGCAAGGGCTTGTTTAGGGCCTGGTTTCAGTCCTCAGTACTGAAGAGGGGTAGTGCTTTTATCTAACTCACATGCCAAGTTCAATTGCTTAGGTTGGTCTCGAACTTGCAGTCTTCCTGCCTTAGCTTCACATAATGCAAACAAATGCTCAACCACTCAGCCATTCAGCCCTATTCCTTGTTGACTTTTTTTTTTTTTTAGTTGTAGATGGACACAGTACCTTTTTTTTTCACTTATTCATTTTAATGTGGTGCCGAGGATTGAACCCAGTGCCTCACTGTGCTAGGTGAGTGCTCTATCACATAACCCCAGATCCTCCTTGTTAACAATATTTTTAAATTTTAATTTATGAGTTCTAATCAGCTATACATGACAATAGAAAGCTCTTCGATTCATTGTACACAAATGGAGCAGAAGTTTTCGTTTCTCTGGTTGTGTATGAAGTAGTCACTCTGTGCGGTCACATATGTGCCCAGGGTAATGATGTCCATCTCATTCTACTGTCTTTTCCTTTGCCCACCCCCAACATTTTTTTAAATATATATATTTTTTAGTTGTAGATGGATATGATACTTTTATATTTTTAATGTGGTACAGAGGATCAAACCCATTGCCTCACATGCAAGGCAAGCAGTCTACTACTGAGCTACAACTCCAGCCCCCTTGTTTTTATTTATTTTTTTATAAAGAGAATTTTTTTTTTAATATTTTTCAGTTCTCGGCGGACACAACATCTTTGTATGTGGTGCTGAGGATCGAACCCGGGCCGCACACATGCCAGTCGAGCGCGCTACCGCTTGAGCCACATCCCCAGCTCCCTTACTTTTAACATTTTTTTATATAAAAATGAGGTGGTGGACTTACCTAGTGTGCCCAAGGTTCTGGGTTTGATCCCCGATGCCACAAATAGGTAAATAAAAGAAAATCTCTAGTTCCCCATGATGCTTCTTACTCTCCAGATAACACACATTCTGCTCTGAGAATGTTTCTTTTTTTGTTTGTATTTTTTATTTTTTAATATTTTTATGTAATAAAAAATAAAAGTCCTTGTCCAACCATCCTTGTGGGGCATCTGTCTGTCTCTCACGCAGGTCACTCAAGTTAATGGGGAAGAAAGAACAGGGGGTCCAAGTCTGAGGTTATAAATAATAGAAAATAAAAGATCTTCCGTCTCCAGCGGGGGGAGGGAGGAATAGATGAGAGTCTTTTTTTGTTTGTACAGTACTGGGGATTGAACCCAGGGGTACTTTACCACTGAGCTACATCCCAGCCCTTTTTATTTTGCCCAGGCTGACATCAAACTTGCCATCTTTCTGTCTCAACCTCCAGGGCCACTGGGATAACAAGTGTGTACCACCATGCCCATTTCATCTTTCACTTGGTTGTAAAACTCTTGCTAAAACCTTTTTTTTTTTTGCACTAGGAATTGAACCCAGTGCTGCTTAACCACTGAACCACATCCCCAGCCCATGTTTTATTTTTTGAGACAGGGTCTCAGTTGCTGAGGCTGGCTTTGTACTTGTGATCCTCCTTGTCTCAGCCTCCCAAGCTGCTCAGATTACAGGCAAGGGCCACCACTGCTATCACAGTTTTCTGTGGAACAGAGGTCTCTGCCTGTGAAGAGACCTCCTCAACCCTAGGGTAGCAAAACAAAAATAATGCAGTAAACATTTGTTTTAAAATATGTTTTTTAGTTATAGATGGACATACAATATCTTTATTAATTTATTTTTTATGTGGTGCTGAGGCTTGAACCTAGTGCCTCGCACCTGCAAGGCAAGTGCTCTACCCACTGAGCCACATCCCTAGCCCTAGATCTGAGCTATTTGGAAGGCTGAGGCAGAAAGATTGCAAGTTACAGTAAACATTCTTGATGAAACCGTTCTTTTCCTCCAAGGCCATTCCCTCAGGATGCATCCCTGAAGGGGGATATCACTGAGCCAGCCAGACATGCCCAGGTGTGGTGTGAATCCCACTGCATGGTTGAGAGCAGCAGCTCCTGTTTTCTGCACTCAATCTCTCTCCCTTCTTCAAAACCAGCGACGCCCTTTACAAGGAAACACCATGCCAAGTGAGGGTCTCAACTCAAGGCTGTAGACACCGCCAGCAGACTGATCCTCTCACATTAGGAGGAGCAAAAGGGGGCCTTAGTGCTTAGAACCTGTCCTCCCAGAACTCCAGTGTTGGATTCACAGCTCCCCAGGTGGCAGTACTTCTAGGTGGGGCCTTTGGGAGTAAGTGAATCCCTGCCTTGGGGAAGGAAGCAGTCTCCACCTGACACCAAACCTGCTAGTGCCTGATGTCTACTTCCAGCCTGCAGATCCTGGAGAATTAAGTAAATGTCAGTCTCAGGTCCTGTTCAGTAAGGCAGGATGAGCCTCCTCATCAGGAGACATCGCAGCCAACTGCACTGCAGTTTATGGCTCTCAGCGCTGGGGATCAAATCCAGGGTTTTGTGTATGCAAGTGTTCTACCACTAAGCTAAATCCCCAGCGCTAGAATCTTAGAAATTCCGGGCTGGGGTTGTGGCTCAGTGGTAACCGCTTGCCTGGCATGCATGAGGCACTGGGTTCAATCCCCAATACAGGCCAGCATGATGTTGCGTATCTGTAATCCCAGCAGCTCAGGAGGCAAGTTCAAGGGCAGCCTCAGCAATTTAGCCAGACTCAAAATAAAAAGGGTTGGAGGCAGGGAAGGCATGGGGCTGTAGCTCAGTGGCAGAGCATTTGCCTAACACATGTGAAGCACTGTGTTCCATCCTCAGCACCCAATAAAAATAAAGGGGCTGGGGCTGTAGCTCAGTGGCAGAGTGCTTGCCTAGCATGTGTCAGACACTGGGTTTGATTCTCAGCACCAAATAAAAATAAACAAATAAAGGCGTTGTATCTACAACTACAAAAAAATTTTTGATTTGTTTTTTTTAGTTGTAGTTGGTATCACAATACCTTTATTTATTTTTATGTAATGCTGAGGATCAAACCCAGCACCTTGCACATGCTAGGCAAGTGCTCTACCGCTGAGCCACAACTCCAGCCCTACAACTACAAAAATTTTTTTAAAAATAAATAAAAGTATAAAAGGGGGTGGGGGCTGGGGAAGTGACTCAGTGGTAGACCACCCATGGGTTTAATTCCAGTTCCAAGAAGAAAAAAAGAGCCTGAAAAACAACAAATGAGGCTGTCTCAGTGGTGGAGTGCTTGTCTAGTGGCATTCGAGAGGCATGGGGTTTGATCCTCAGCACCACATAAAAGTAAACAAAATAAAGTCTACCACGCGGCCTGCGCAATGGTTTCATTAATGAGGTTCTAGGCATAAAGTTAGTTAGAAGAGATCGAAATAAAACACAAAGACTCAGTTACCTTATTTCTATTGCTAGGTCCGAGAGGCTCCCCTCTCTGGTTCGCTCCTCTAGCCGCCCAGCAGGGCAGCAAGGATTACTCAGGGCTAGCAGGAGAGAGAAAGAGTGAACACGCTGGGGACTAGCCTTTTATTGGGGAACAAGAGATTCAGGGGAGAGTTCCATCCAATGAAGGTTGAGGGGGTGCTGCACTCCAAGGTCAGGGTCAGTGATTGGGTCCCCAGGGTCAGTGGTCAGGCACACCCCCACACGGATGGGCTCTCTCGTCAGCAAAGGGTCGGGAAAGCTTCGACATAGCCAAAGTGCCTCAGGCCCTTAACGGGAGTCACCCAATCACGTGTCAGAATGGCTTCCCACAATAAAGGCATTCTGTCTATTTACAACTACAAAAATAAAAAACAAATGAACTAAAAATAAACAAGAAAGAAATAGTGTCTGACACACAAACTAAATCTGAGCTATTTGGAAGGCTGAGGCAGGAAGATTCCAAGTTGAAGGCCAGCCTGGGCAATTTAGCCTTTCTCAAAAAAAAAAAAAAAAAAAAAAGACTAGGTATGTAGCTCAGTGGTACACTTCCCATGGGTTCAATCTCCAATACCAAAGAAAGAAGAAAAGGGAAAAGAAAAAGTAGAAAAAGATTCAGAATACAACCAAGGAAATATTGACCAGACATTTAAGATTTTTGTAAATATTTTTGATCGTTAAACCAGGTAACTGTTCTGTAAAAAACTCCAAACTGGTAGTAATGTGTGTAACCCCAGCTACTTTGGGGCAGAGGCAAGCGGATCCCAGGTGAGGCCAGCCTAGGCAACTTAGAGAGACCCTGCCTCAAAATAAATAAAAAGGGCTGGGGGTGCTGGGGATGTGGCTCAAGCGGTAGCGGGCTTGCCTGGCATGCGCAGGTCGCTGGATTGGATCCTCAACACCACATAATGTTGAGAGCCACAGCCGAGTCAGGATGGAGCCTGGCATTGCCAGAAGGAGTGGTTGGGAGGTGAGGCCAGCGAGCCATTAAGATGATCATAACTAAGTTAAGCTGTGTGTAATTGCTGACTGGAGGGTGCTGGATTGAAACAGGCTGTGTATTCAGTTGTATATAGACCCCTGAAGTCAGGCAATAGGGCGGCTCCTGCTGCCTCCAGCGCCGGCTACTTTTGGGAGCCCAGAGAGCTGAGTTTCCCCGGGGAGTGCGCGTGGAGTGCCAGTGGATCCTGTTTGAACCTAAAAGGGGCTGTGACCTACCGATTTGGTGCCCAGCCAGACTGCGGCAAATAAAGATGTGTCCACCGAAAACTAAAAAATAATTAAAAAAAAAAATACTCCCTAGAGGGCCAAATAACTCCAGTAAAAAAAAAAAAAAGAAAAAAAAAAAAGGGTGGGGTGGGCTGGGGCTGAGCGGTAGAGCACTTGCCTAGCATGCGCGGGCGCTGGGTATATCTGGGGTATATCTCAGCGGTAACGCACTCAAGTACTAAAAATACAAAAAAACAGAATCCGCGCTATTTGGAATGGTTTGTCACAGAGCAGCAGACACCTGAAGCAGGCGAAGATCGGCCAGGGCCCTTCTCATTAGGAATAAAAATGCAGGCTGAGGCAGGAGGATCCCCAGTCCAAAGCCAGCCTCAGCAAGGGCGAGGCGCTTAGCCACTCAGGGAGACCCTGTCCCGGGGATGGAGCTCTGAGGCTGAGTGGCCCCACCCCCGGACCCGCGCCTCAAAAAAAAACCACTGCTGACATTCACAGCCGCAGGCCTGTGGCCAGCAGAGCAGGGCGGGGCGCCGCTGCTGCCCCGGCCCACAAGCCTGCGGTGCAGGAGCCCGTCCTCGGGAGGACCGGGTCTCCTGCGAAGGCCAAGGTCGGAGACCCGCCGACGGGGCGCCCACAGGCCGCCCTGAGGGACAGACGCGCGCAGACGTGGGGGCGGGAAGCGAGGCCACCCGCGCCAGCGTCCCTTCCGAGCAGAACACGCAGTCGCGCGCTGTGGCCGCTCGGGGCCGGGCTCGGGGCCCCGAGGCGTGGGCGTCAAGCAGGAGACCCGAGCCCAGAGGTGCTGCGCGGCCTCCAGGGGGCCGGACCCGCGACGCGGGGCCAGGCCGGCCATGCCCGCGGCCCGGAGGCGGAGGCCAGGCAGCTCACCGAGGCCGACTCTACAGTCACAGAAACAGGGCTGGGGTGCGGCTCCGTGACGGAGTGCCCGATCCCCTCCAGCTGACCCTAGGTGGGCGTGGGACAAAGGGACAGAGTCGCGGGCACCGCAGCCAAGGCGCAGAACGGGCCGAGAATGCGGGCCCTGAGCGCAGGGTCGCACCCATTCAAGGCGACCCCGGCAGGGCGGGAAAGTGCAGCTCTCCACCGACACCGCCCACGCGGGACGCGAAGCCGACGCAAGATGGCGGGCGCACAGCCTTCTGCGC